GTCTCCATGGCAGACCCCTCTGGGGGTCCAGTCCTTGCGCACTCCTCCACGGTCCTGCCGTGTCCGGCGGTCCCGTCTGGCTCCCTGTCAGGTCTTCACCTCCCCTCGTTCTCTACGAACTTGGTGAGTGGTGCTGACCTCCAGGACCAGTGGGTTGACCAGTTCACCCCTGGAGGTCAGCGCGTGACCTACTGTACGTGCTCCCGGACGGGCCGGCACCTGGCCACGTTTACCCGTGCGCCTGACTCGAGTCTGTACACACTGACTACTGTGTCCCCTCAGGTCGCTGCGTCTGCGTCTGCGTCAGGTCATCTAGCGGCCCCCTGCTCGTGTCGCGCTTTGTCGCACCAGACCCTCCTTTGGCACCACCGTCTTGGTCACCCCTCGGTGCAGCGCCTTCGTAGCATGCACCACCGTGTCCTTGTCTCTGGTCTTCCCAGGGTTCTCCCTCCCCTCCCACCCTCGCTCGCTCCTCCTTGTCTTCCTTGTGTCGAGGGGCGGCAGCGCGCCGCTCCTCACTCCTCCTCGTTTCCCCCGACGACTGCTCCCCTGCAGACCCTGCACATAGACGTGTGGGGCCCAGCCCGCGTTAGTGGGCAGGACCGCGAGCGGTACTTCCTGCTGGTTGTTGACGACTACTCGCGTTACACCACGGTCTTCCCCTTGCGCACCAAGGGTGAGGTCCCTGATGTTTTGATCCCTTGGATCCGCGGTGCCCGTCTCCAGCTCCGTGAGCAGTTCGGGACGGAGTTTCCCGTCCTGCGTCTGCACTCTGACAGAGGTGGGAAGTTTTCCTCCGACCTTCTGCAGAGCTTTTGTCGTGGGGAGGGCATTCGCCAGACGTTCACGCTTCCGGCCTCTCCGCAGCAGAATGGGGTTGCTGAGCGCCACATTGGTTTGGTCACGGAGGCCGCTCGTACCTCCATGGTCCATGCGGCTGCCCCCCATTTTCTGTGGCCGTTTGCAGTCCGCTACACCGCGCATCAGCTCAACCTCTGGCCCCGTGTCTCCTTGCCGGAGACTTCGCCCTCACTGCGGTGGACGGGGGAGGTTGGCGATGCGTTGATGTTCCGGGTCTGGGGTTCTCGTGCCTTTGTCCGCGATACCACCACGGACAAGCTCTCCGCCCGCGCTGTTCCCTGTGTCTTCCTTGGCTTTGTCCCTGACGCGCCTGGTTGGCAGTTTTACCACCCCACCTCGCGTCCTGTCTTCCCCTCTCAGGACGTCACGTTCGACGAGTCGGTTCCCTTTTACCGTCTCTTCCCCTACCGCACTGCCCCTCCCCCCCCCCCCGCCGCTCTTCCTCGCTCCAGGTGCTCCCCAAGTAGACCCCCTCCCCGCTCCCGGTCCTGCTCCTTCAGGTGTGTCTCAGGTAGACCCTCCTCCCTTGACTGCGCCAGTTGAGGTCACTGACTCAGGTCCTGCTGAGGGTGGTCCTGCTCGGGGTGCTGCTCCTGGGGGTGCTGAGCCTGGGGGTGCGGAGCCTGGGGGTGCTGAGCCTGGGGGTGCGGAGCCTCGGGGTGCTGAGCCTGGGCGTGAGGAGTCTGGGGGTGCTGAGCCTGGGGTTACTGAGTCTGGGGGTGCTGCACTTGGGGGCGCTGAGGCGTCTGGTGAGCAGTCTCCCTGGAGCGGCCGTCTCCGTAGTCGCTCCGCTGGTGCCTCGCCGCTGCACTCTCGTCGTCGTCTCCCTCTCCCCCAGCAGCTGCGTGATTGGTACGTTAGCCGTCAGGGTCGAGCTGCTGGAGCTGGGGGCCCTGCTGCGGGAGGCGCTGGTGTTGGAGGCACTGGAGCCGGCGCTGTCCCTCTCTCCCCACAGCAGCTGCGTGAGTGGAACGTCAGCCGTCAGTGTCGCGCTGCTGGAGTTAGGGGCCCTGCTGCGGGAGGCGCTGGAGCTGGTGACTCTGCTACTGGAGTTGTTTCTACTGGAGGTACTGGAGCTGCTGGGACTGGAGGTGCTGCTGTCGACTCTGAGGTTGGAGGCCCTGGAGCTGGAGGTGCCGGTTCTGGGGGTGCTACTGCTGGTGGCACTGGAGCTGGAGGTCCTGGAGCTGCTGCGGGTGCTGGCGCTGGAGGTTCTGGAGCTGTTGGAGGTGGTGGCGCTGGAGCTGGAGGTTCTGGAGCTGCTGAGGGTGCTGGCGCTGGAGGTTCTGCAGCTGTTGGAGGTGGCGGCGCTGGAGCTGGAGGTTCTGGAGCTGCTGCGGGTGCTGGTGCTGGAGTCTCTGGAGCTGTTGGAGGTGCTGGCGCTGGTGGCGCCGGGGCTGGAGGTTCTGGAGCTGCAGGAGGTGCTGGAGCTACTGGTGCTGGTGGCACTGCGCCGCCGCGACTGTTCTTCGCTCCGCCGTCACCTTCGTCTCTACCACCGCCTGGCTCCGTGCTTCGCCAGGTTCTTAGCCTCCCGTCTTCTACTGGTCTTCCGTTACAGCCTGGCTCACCGCTGCCTGCTCCTTCTCCTTACACTAAGCTGACAGGCAGTCTTGCTGAGCGTCGTGAGCCTGCGTCTCGTCCTGTCTCGCCTGTTCGCACTGTCCACACTGGTCGTACTGGTCGTCGTGTTCCTCGTGAGCGTCCGCCGGCTGTCCCTGGCACACACCTCATGGCCCTGCGTCCTTCCTCTGCTCCGCAGCGTGTTCCCCTGCCGTCCCCTCCTGCGTCTTCTCTGCCTGACGTTCCGAAGCCTGAGTCTGACCGCGCTCGTGATGTTCACCCTACTGTCACGCGTCTGCTAGCCACAGTTGTCACTGACCCGTCGTTTGAGTCTGCTGCTGCGTCTGCCTTAGTCGCTGAGCTTGTTGACTTTGCTGCTGCCTGTCGTCTAGACTACGTCGCTAGTCTTGTTGCTGAGTCTGAGTCTGTCTCTCCTCCGTCCGTCGGGGGTGAGTGTGCTCTTTGCACGGACGTCCTTGAGGACAGGCAGGAGGACCTTGAGTGTCTTGCAGCCACTGCGCCTCATCTCGTGGCCATGCTGCTTGCCCTTGAGGGAGACCCGGATGCTCCAGACATCCCGACCCCGCGCTCTTACGCTGAGGCGATCGCGGGTGAGTACTCCTCTCAGTGGCAGACAGCCATGGACGCAGAGATGGCATCCTGGAAGTCCACAGGCACTTACGTTGACGAGGTTCCCCCTCCTGGGGCGAACATCGTCGATGGCATGTGGATTTTCAGGGTGAAGCGGCCGCCGGGTTCTCCGCCTGTCTTCAAGGCTCGTTACGTTGCTCGAGGTTTCAGACAGCGAGAGGGGATTGACTTCTTCCAGACCTTCTCCCCCACCCCGAAGATGACCACTCTTCGGGTGCTGCTGCACGTTGCCGCTCAGCGTGACTACGAGCTTCACTCTCTTGACTTCAGCACAGCTTTCTTACTAGGCAGCCTGCACGAGGAGATCTGGCTGCGCCGCCCACCTGGCTTCACTGGGTCATTCCCTCCTGGTACCCAGTGGAGCCTTTGGCGGCCGGTCTACGGTCTCCGCCAGGCGCCACGTGAGTGGCACGACACACTGAGGACGACACTTGCTGCTCTTGGGTTTGCTCCGTCGACTGCTGACTCGTCGCTGTTTCTGCGCACCGACACTTCGCTGCCGCCGTTCTACATCCTCGTGTACGTCGACGACTTGGTCTTTGCCACTGCTGACACTAAGGCTCTCGCCCTGGTGAAGTCGGAGCTGCAGAAGAGACACACGTGCACAGACCTGGGTGAACTGCGCAGTTACCTTGGCTTGCAGATCACCCGGGACAGAGCACGCCGCACCATCACCCTGACTCAGTCACACATGGTGCAGCAGGTCCTTCAGCGCTTCGGCTTCACCTGGTCCTCGCCACAGCATACTCCTCTGGCTACAGGTCACTTGCTCTCAGCTCCACCTTCGGACGAGTCCGTAGAGCCGAGTGGTCCTTACTCAGAGCTAGTGGGCTGCCTCATGTACCTGATGACGTGCACGCGTCCTAACCTTGCGTAACCTCTTGGCCTTCTGGCTCGCTACGTGGCTCCTGGTCGGCACCGAAAGGTGCACATGGATGCTGCTAAGAGGGTACTACGCTACTTGTGCAGTACATCGAGCATGGGGCTCGTGCTTGGAGGACGGGGCGACGTTGTCCTCACTGGGCACTCAGACGCTTCTTGGGTTGACGACCAGGCTACGCAGCGGTCGTCACAGGGTTACACCTTCAGCCTTGGCTCTGGTTCAGTTTCTTGGCGTTCTACTCGCGCGTCTTCAGTTGTGAGGCTGAGATCTACGCCACAGCCATGGCTGCATAGGAGTTACGCTGGCTCACCTACCTGATGACCGACTTGGGAGAGCGGCCCCGTTCTCCTCCAGTGCTGTACGTGGACAACAAGGCCGCCATTGCCTTGTGTGAGGAGCACAGACTGGAGCACAGAACGAAGCACATCGCTCTGCGTTACTTCATGGCTCGAGAGTTGCAGCAGCGTGGTCAGCTTCGCCTTGCTCACGTGGCCACTCGGGCCAACACTGCTGATATATTCACCAAGGCACTTCCGTCTGGTGATCATCAGCGTTTCTGCACTTTGTTAGGCCTTGTGCCCACGTTTCCTCACTTGCTGTAGACTTTGCTTGTACTGTGGTCTATATATATACCTGCAAACTTGTTCTGCTAGATAGAGATCACTATGCTGTTGTTATTGCATATATACCTCTGCATGTGAACTGGCCTTGTGGCCTTTTGCTTGTGCTCAGTGTGTGTGGTGACGTTGTGATCCACCCTGAGCTTGCTTTGCCTCTCTTGACTGGTCTAGTGACCGCTTGCTCTCCCCCACTTTGCCTATGGGGGTGTGTCAAATGATATATGCTCTATATATGTGTAGGCTGTAGTGGGGTAGCCAATATGGGGTACAGCCCCCTCTAGGGTTACACATTTGTACCCAACTCTTTCATACTGCATCCATTCCTGCTGCTAGTTTCTAACACAAGGCACCACACCACACTCACGGCAGAGAGGAAGGGTCAGACAGTTACAAGCGTTGAATAGAGTTTCAATGATTCCAAGTCAACTGTCGCTGGTGGTGGTGTTCTCCCTGCCTGAGCTGCTGGAATCTTCTTTGAAGCGCCTCTTATGTAGCCCCTGCCTGTGCTGCTGCTGGATGAGGGGCTCAAGCTGGAGGGCAGCAGAGAGGCGCGGAAAAATAGAGTCTCAAAACATGAGTCTCTCTCCTCTTGGTGCTGCTTTCCTCACTGCCCGTGCTGCTGGTGGACGAGGAGATCAAGCTGGTCGGCAGGAAGATCAAGTGGTGCTGAGAGGTATTAAAGGTACTGAGAGCAGGGCGTTGAGGGAGTGGTGTGAGAGCTAAAACATGATTTCTCCCGGCTTATGTAGTTGATAACCAGCATTGAACGGTGGCAGGAAATCCAGGTGTGTTAGAGTTGAGTAGTCCTGCCTAGGAACATGTACCGTAATTTGAAATGTCGACTCGAGGAAAGTATCCTCCTTCAGAAAGTAGAGAACTGGTTCGTGATTGCACAGAAAATACATTGCACACATTATTTACATGTACTACTAACACGACTCACCTAACAGGGAAAAGTACCTAACAGAAGTACCAGAAACAGAACGAACAGGTAAGTAAGCTGCACAATACATGACATGACTCATTAATCAGCTAATCTAGCAAAAGTACACGCAAATAGGTTGGCAATGGAGAACAAGAACCGAGCGCACAGAATGCCCATTGTCATCCTTCCACGTGATGCTGCCATACTTGAAGTTCTTGAACCTCCTCCTCACCACAACCTTCACCTTGAAACTGACCCGTTGCCCAGGCGCTATGGTAAACTGCGATGGCACCACTCTCACTCTCACTGCCTCAGGGACATTAACCGTCACCCTATAGGTCGATGTGGTGCCTGAGACACTCGTCACAGTCCGCCTAGCGGCGAGTTTATTCACTACCAGCGGTATGTTCACCAGCGAGATAGACGGCCGGTTTAGGTGCCTCGCTGCAACGGGTTTCAGTGGCACCTGCCCGAATGCCTCTCGGGCCATCGTGAAATTCATCCCAGCAAGAAAGTTGCGGAAATCTTGCTCCCCGGCATCGTAGGTCAGCCCGGGGTCAAGCGCCCTAGCGGGAAACACATGCCCCGCTCCCATCTGCCACGGAGTCGCCGGCTTGCCGTTCACATTCCGGATCATTCTGTTGCTGTTGTCAGTGCTGCGCGCTGTCGTCATCATGTCAGACATGACCTGCGCGGGCGTCCAATCAAGATGCTGCTGGATGATCAGAGCAGCAACACCGGCAACATGCGCCGCCGCCACGGCAGTCTCGTTATTGTAAGCCGAAAACGACCCCGTCTCGCCGACGGTTGTCCCCGGAGCAGCCGCAAGGATGTCGGCCCCCGGGGCGATGATGTCAGGCTTGAGGATGGTGTTGGAGGGGCGGGCTTTCTTCGGGTGGCAGACGGTGCAGCCCCGCGCGGCAAGAGGGCCGGTGGAGGACCATTCGGGAACCATGGGGAGGGAGGTGGCTGCAGGGGAGATGGTGGTGGGGAGTTGGGTTCCCAGCAGTGTTGATGCTGATGGGCCTGTGGTGTTTGCTGGAGATTCTAACGCTGCTGCTGTTGTTGTAGACGATGAAGTGAGGGATTCCTGAGGCACGGTACTGCATGGTGGGGCAGGGAGAGTGATGCGAGGAGATGCGAGGAGATGCGAGGAGATGCGAGGAGATGCGAGGAGATGGAAGACGAGGGAGGAGGTGCAAGAGGAGGGAGGAGAGCATGGAAAAAGGCATGAACCAAGGAAGGGAGAAGGGAAGAAGGGACAATGCAAAGCTGCAGCGTGCAAAACAAGCAACCTTCTGCTTCGGAAACAAACTACCCCTGCCACTCCCTAGCAAGTGCTCCCCGTGCTCACCTGGCCCCCACGCTGATATAGTAGGGTGCAAAGTTGTCAATGGCAGGGAAAGGACCGTACAGGTAACGGTAAAAGGACCTCCCCTCATCGCCCACTGCAAAAGACACAGTCACCCCGGCCTGGGGGAGGGAGGAGGGGGAGAGTATATGTTTTGAAGGCGCTCTCAAAACATACTACAGTCACTCCGACCTGGAGGAGAGAGTCACCCTCGCTACAGTCACTCCGACCTGGAGGAGAGAGTCACCCTCGCTACAGTCACTCCGGCTTGAAGGAGGGTGAGGGGGGAAACACAGGCAAGAGGAGTGGCGCCTTCTGAGGCGCTCTAAAGAGACGAGTGGCTGACATGGGGTTTCAATCACATTCCGTACCAGTGTATACTCGAGTGATGCACCCACCCACCACATTGGCAGGGACACGTATGAGTGTGATAGAAAAGCACGCTCGGATCAGCCAGCAAATCCACTCTCCCTACGCGCATGCTCTTCATAACCATAGGATGCTCCTCACACCCACCGCATGCTCACACCCACCGCATGCTCCTCACACCCACCGCATGCTCACACCCACCGCATGCCCTTCACACCCACCGCATGCCCCTCACACCCACCGCATGCCCTTCACACCCACCGCATGCCCCTCACACCCACCGCATGCCCTTCACACCCACCGCATGCCCCTCACACCCACCGCATGCCCTTCACACCCACCGCATGCCCCTCACACCCACCGCAAGAGCACCGAGGAAAGGCACGTCGTCAAAATAGGTCCACTTCCACATGTCAAACTGATCCCAGACCGCGTTTCTGTTCGTGTTGTCCAGGGACAACGTGAGCACACCGTCCGCCACTGCCTGATCAACGGCTGCAAAGACATCTGCGTCGGTAGTGACAGACTCGCCAGGGCCGCCCAGATACCAATAGACCTTGTAGATGGCCAGGCGTGCCTTGGGAGCCACGCCACTGATGGTGCCCCCGTCAGGCACCTCCACGCCGCTGTTGCCCGCTGCTGCTCTGAGAGTGGAGATGCGTGGGACAGGGAGGGAGCGGGTATGAGGGGGCGTGTGGGACAGGGGAGGGGCGGCTACGAAGGGAATGACCTTGCCACGCCATGCACATGGTCTTCTTCCTTTCGCTGTCTGCCAAACCACTTTAAACACACGCATTGCCATCCCATCCCATGCAATGCCATGCCGTCCCATGCCATGCCATGCCATGCCATACCATGCCATGCCGTCCCATCCCATCCCATCCCATCCCATCCCATGCCATGCCGCCCCATCCCATGCCATGGCATAGTGTGTTATGGGACTCACCACACGGTCCTAACTTCCTGCACTCACCCGGCACACCACGTGCCATGGCCATCAGAATCGCGCGGGGAGGCCCACTCGTCGTCGTGTGGGCCCTGTCCTCCATATTCGCTCTCAAACCCCGCGCGAAAGATGCCCCCTCCGATGATCTTGTTGTTACAAGCGAAGTCGCTTGTAGTGGGACACGTGCCCGCCCACCCAGCAGGGGGCGTGCTGCTGTAGCCCTGGTGGGGGGGAGGATGTGGGGTGCACGGGGGTAGTTAGGTTGGAGAAAGTGCTGGTGATAGTGGTTTGCTATATCGGGACCGGGAGGCAAAAAACAAAGGACGAGGGAGTCAAAGAGCGGGGTGCAGACGGAGAGAGAGGAGCAGCAGCAGTAGCAGCAGCAGCAGCAGCAGCAGCAGCAGCAGCAGCAGCAGCAGCAGCAGCAGCAGCAGCAGCAGCAGCAGCAGCAGCAGCAGAAACCCATAGGTGAAGAGCAATGCGTGGCAGTGAACGTACAGTGTCGTCAAAGGAGGGGTGCTCCGGCCACACGCCGCTGTCCAGAATTCCAATAACCGTGCCTTCGCCGTCACTCGGCGCTCCAGCAGGAGTGGCAGCAGCAGCAGCGGGGGTGGCAGCAGCGGGAGCGGCAACATCAGCAGCACGGGCGTGGGACAGCTTGAGAGACTTGTGCCCGTCGGCGGCGGCAGTGACGGCGCGGCGGCGTGTGATGGTGCGAGAGGGCGTGACGGACGCCACGGAGGGGTGCCGCCTCATGCGCTGCACCTGCGCTGCCGTGAGGGCCGCCGAGAAGCCGTTGTCTGTGTGCACGTAGCTGAGGGGGAAGGGAAAGCGTACAAGGGGGGGGGGAGCATAGGGCGAGGGAAAGCGTACAGGGGGAGGGAAGGTGTACAGGGTGGGGGGGGGGGGGGAAGCATACAGGGGGAGGGAAAGCGTACAAGGGGAGGGAAAGCGTACAGGGGGAGGGAAAGCGTACAGGGGGAGGGAAAGCGTACAGGGGGAGGGAAATTGTACAGGGGGAGGCGAGGGAAGGAAGGGAGGCAGGCGTGCAGGGGAAGTTGAGAGGGGGCGGGCACGGGAGGGCGTGAGGGTCGTTGAGAAGCCATTGGATGCGTGCAACAGCCTTAACACCAGATTGAACACACACGTCCGCTCACCTGTTGAACGTTCTCTAGAGTGTCGCTCACCTGTTACCGCCCTTTGCATGCACTGCTGCATTACCGCCCTTTGCATGCGCTGCTGCAGCACCACGCTGGCAGCAATGAAGTCCCCAAATCTCTTCTCACGCTCAAGTGCATACCATCGTTCCCCTCACCTATAGACCATCTTCCCGGCGGCCACCCCGCTGTCTCTCAGCACGGCCTGCTGCATGCGCTGCAGCAGCTGCTTGAACGCCCTCACGCCCGGCGCCCTCACGTTCAACCGCGGCCGCCACAGCGGACGGTTTGTGCCCCCTGAACCGCTGGTGGCAGTGGCAGCAGCCGCAGCAGCAGGAGCAACAGACGCAGTGCCAACGCCACCGTTGCTTGGAACAGAAGCCGCGCTAACGCCATCGCCGGCCTCATCGCTTGATGCGGCGCCTGGAGTGTTGCCGTTAGGGTTGTTGTCCCAAGCGGCCGTTGCCGGGTAGCCGGCGAATCCGCCGCGGTACGAGGCAATGGGCGGTGCAGAGCGCAGGCGGACGATGTAGATCGCGGAGCCATGGGAGGGGGAAGCTGCGGGGGATGGGGGGAACAGGACAAGGGGGGGGGCTGAGTGCAAGAGCATAGGAGGCGGAGGATGCGTTACAAGGAGATGCTACGACCCGGTTCTAGGATGCTACGAGCGGTGGTGTGTGGCCGTTTGCTCACCGACGTTGCTGGGGCGGGAGAGCGTTACGGGTAGAGAGAGGAGGAGCAATAGAAGTAGGAAAAGGAGAGCCCATAGTCGAAAATGTTGTTTCTCGGAACGCAACGCGTGTTGTTTCTCGGAATACTTGGGAAGCAGCGAGTGTTCTTTTTGAGAAGCCATCATGACAGCGATAGGAGGTAGAACGACAGTAGATTTGAACACGAAAATAAGCACGAGGGAATCGGGGACGTACTATCCGCCTCGAGCACAAGAAAGAGTGATACCTCATGAACCAAGCAAGTGTGGTACCTCGTGACCCAAGCAAGTGTGATACCTCATGAACCAAGCAAGTGTGATACCTCATGAACCAAGCAAGTGTGATACCTCGTGAAACCAAGAAAGTGGGATACCTCGTGAAACCAAGAAAGTGTGATACCTCGTGAAACCAAGAAGATGCGGCATGGTCGACGAAGCTAAGAAGCCTTCCCGCGGCCCTCTGGCGTTGCTGGTTCTTGCACGCGGGTCGTAGAGGTTCTTGCTCGGTCGTGCGGGTCTCAGATGGAAGGCATGCTCGTGTGACATGATCAGTGGTACATGATAATGCGCTGCTAGTGTCGCGCTAGTGCCGTGCCGAGGGTGTGTGCCTTGTCTACATAATGCGCTGTCAAGCTGGAAAGGCCACAAACATATCATCAGCTAATCCCGAGGGGCGGGCAAGGGAAAACCAATCACCTTGCAATTTCTCGAGTGTGCCACGCCTGCAACCTTGAGAGTTGGTCGCAACTCGTTTGCAGATTAGTGAATCTTTCTCATATGTACAGTCAGATGCCAATCGCGCAAGTGAGAAAGGATTGCGTCAGAGTATAAATAAGAATCATGCAGATTTCTGCTAATGCTTGATATAACATGACTTACACGTATAGCCTCAATCACCAAGATTCTTCAAACCTATCTATGCTTTGATTTTACTAAAACTTCTTTCACTTTTATTGACAGATCCTGATCACATGTCTGTACTTAACTAATCTCCAGTAGCTCCTCATACTTTCGCGGGTCCAGCACGCCGCCGTGTTCAACTCCAGTAACCCAATGCAGTCCATGCAAATTCGAGTGTAGCAAAAAAACTTGGTACGCCCATGCAACCAATGAGAAGGCCAGAAGGCTGTATTGAGGGTGAAATGTGAGCCGCTCATATATTGCACCAATCAAACGGATCGAAGGGCTCTCCATGCCTTCGTACTGCAAGCACAAGGAGACAAGGTGCATGCAAAAAAAGAAAAGAAAAAAACCACTTAACATCCATGGCTACCCTCTTAAAATAGACCTCTTTTGACCACAGGCATGCACAAACAGCACTGAACCAACCATTCGTAGAATGGGAACCCTGAATGGGAGAGGCACGAAACCCTTTTAGAGCAATCCTCCCAGAATCAGAAGTGCAGATGCATGCTCACCTTCAAAGTGCAGATGCATGCTCACCTTCAAAGTGCAGATGCATGCTCACCTTCAAAGTGCAGATGCATGCTCACCTTCAAAGTGCAGATGCATGCTCACCTTCAAAGTGCAGATGCATGCTCACCTTCAAAGTGCAGATGCATGCTCACCTTCAAAGTGCAGATGCATGCTCACCTTCAAAGTGCAGATGCATGCTCACCTTCAAAGTGCAGATGCGGCCCCATGGACCGACCAGTGTTGCCCACCAGCGCCACCACCTGCCCTGCTCGCACCCTCTGCTGGGGTGAAGAGACGAGTGGAAACGGAGAGTGGAGGGGGGCGGGGGACGGGTGGGTGGGGAGGGAGAAAGCGTGTGCAGATGCGACCCCATGGACCGGCGGCCAGAGTTGCCCACCGGCACCACCACCTGCCCTGCTCGCACCCTCTGGGGGAGTCAAGCAGCGATTGAAAATGAAGAGTGAGAGTGATGGGTGGAAGCGGGGGCAGGGGGGGAATGGGTGTGGTGAGAGGTGCTGGACTGGCCAGAGTTGCCCACCGGCACCACCACCTGCCCTGCTCTCACCCTGTGGGGGAGTCAAGGGAGGAGAGTGACTGAAGAGTGCAGGGAAAGGGGGTGTTGAGAGTGACTGAAGAGTGCAGGGAAAGGGGGTGTTGAGAGTGACTGAAGAGTGCAGGGAAAGGGGGTGTTGAGAGTGACTGAAGAGTGCAGGGAAAGGGGGTGTTGAGAGTGACTGAAGAGTGCAGGGAAAGGGGGTGTTGAGAGTGACTGAAGAGTGCAGGGAAAGGGGGGTGTTGAGAGTGACTGAAGAGTGCAGGGAAAGGGGGTTGTTGAGAGTGACTGAAGAGTGCAGGGAAAGGGGGTTGTTGAGAGTGACTGAAGAGTGCAGGGAAAGGGGGTGTTGAGAGTGACTGAAGAGTGACTGAAGAGTGCAGGGAAAGGGGGTTGTTGAGAGTGACTGAAGAGTGCAGGGAAAGGGGATGTTGAGAGTGACTGAAGAGTGCAGGGAAAGGGGGTTGTTGAGAGTGACTGAAGAGTGCAGGGAAAGGGGGTTGTTGAGAGTGACTGAAGAGTGCAGGGAAAGGGGGTTGTTGAGAGTGCGGGCTGCAGCTGTGACGAGCACCAGCAGAGGTAGAGTGGTGCATGACGCAGGTGGGGAGGCAGGAATGCAGGAGTGCAGGAAGGTGGAGAGGGGTGCATGGGAGTTCCTAAAGGCCACGCACCAGCTCCATTACCTGCCCTGCATGCATGCTCTGGAGGAGTCAAGGGAGGGGAAGCGTGCAGTCAAGGGAGGGGAAGCGTGCAGTCAAGGGAGGGGAAGCGTGCAGTCAAGGGAGGGGTAGCGTGCAGTCAAGGGAGGGGAAGCGTGCAGTCAAGGGAGGGGAAGCGTGCAGTCAAGGGAGGGGAAGCGTGCAGTCAAGGGAGGGGAAGCGTGCAGTCAAGGGAGGGGAAGCGTGCAGTCAAGGGAGGGGAAGCGTGCAGTCAAGGGAGGGGAAGCGTGCAGTCAAGGGGGGGGAAGCGTGCAGTCAAGGGAGGGGAAGCGTGCAGTCAAGGGAGGGGAAGCGTGCAGTCAAGGGAGGGGAAGCGTGCAGTCAAGGGAGGGGAAGCGTGCAGTCAAGGGAGGGGAAGCTAAACGAGAGGTGAGGAGAGGGGAGTGTGCGGAGTGAAAGCAGGGCAGGCTGGGAAAGCATTTGAATGAACGGGCCTAAGATAGAAACGAGTCTGAGGAGCACCCCTTGTGGCCCACCACTGGGATGGCTCCACCACTGGGATGGCTCCACCACTGCGATGGCTCCACCACTGCGATGGCTCCACCACTGCGATGGCTCCACCACTGCGATGGCTCCACCACTGCGATGGCTCCACCACTGGGATGGCTCCACCACTGGGATGGCTCCACCACTGCGATGGCTCCACCACTGGGATGGCTCCACCACTGGGATGGCTCCACCACTGCGATGGCTCCACCACTGGGATGGCTCCACCACTGGGATGGCTCCACCACTGCGATGGCTCCACCACTGGGATGGCTCCACCACTGCGATGGCTCCACCACTGCGATGGCTCCACCACTGGGATGGCTCCACCACTGGGATGGCTCCACCACTGGGATGGCTCCACCACTGCGATGGCTCCACCACTGGGATGGCTCCACCACTGGGATGGCTCCACCACTGCGATGGCTCCACCACTGCGATGGCTCCACCACTGGGATGGCTCCACCACTGCGATGGCTCCACCACTGCGATGGCTCCACCACTGGGATGGCTCCACCACTGCAATGGCTCCACCACTGGGATGGCTCCACCACTGGGATGGCTCCACCACTGCGATGGCTCCACCACTGGGATGGCTCCACCACTGCGATGGCTCCACCACTGCGATGGCTCCACCACTGCGATGGCTCCACCACTGGGATGGCTCCACCACTGGGATGGCTCCACCACTGGGATGGCTCCACCACTGCGATGGCTCCTCCACTGGGATGGCTCCACCACTGGGATGGCTCCACCACTGCGATGGCTCCACCACTGGGATGGCTCCACCACTGGGATGGCTCCACCACTGCGATGGCTCCACCACTGCGATGGCTCCACCACTGGGATGGCTCCACCACTGCAATGGCTCCACCACTGGGATGGCTCCACCACTGGGATGGCTCCACCACTGCGATGGCTCCACCACTGGGATGGCTCCACCACTGCGATGGCTCCACCACTGGGATGGCTCCACCACTGCGATGGCTCCACCACTGCGATGGCTCCACCACTGGGATGGCTCCACCACTGGGATGGCTCCACCACTGGGATGGCTCCACCACTGCGATGGCTCCACCACTGGGATGGCTCCACCACTGGGATGGCTCCACCACTGCGATGGCTCCACCACTGGGATGGCTCCACCACTGGGATGGCTCCACCACTGCGATGGCTCCACCACTGGGATGGCTCCACCACTGGGATGGCTCCACCACTGCGATGGCTCCACCACTGCGATGGCTCCACCACTGCGATGGCTCCACCACTGCGATGGCTCCACCACTGAAATGGCTCCACCACTGCGATGGCTCCACCACTGGGATGGCTCCACCACTGGGATGGCTCCACCACTGCGATGGCTCCACCACTGCGATGGCTCCACCACTGCGATGGCTCCACCACTGGGATGGCTCCACCACTGCAATGGCTCCACCACTGGGATGGCTCCACCACTGGGATGGCTCCACCACTGCGATGGCTCCACCACTGGGATGGCTCCACCACTGCGATGGCTCCACCACTGGGATGGCTCCACCACTGGGATGGCTCCACCACTGCGATGGCTCCACCACTGGGATGGCTCCACCACTGGGATGGCTCCACCATTGCGTTGGCTCCACCACTGGGATGGCTGCACCACTGGGATGGCTCCACCACTGCGATGGCTCCACCACTGGGATGGCTCCACCACTGCGATGGCTCCACCACTGGGATGGCTCCACTTGCAGCAACCTACTCGACACATGACAGCAGCCCACCTGGCCGGCATGCACGAGCATCTTGGAGCAGTGCGCGTAGTGGGTGGTGAAGCCCGCCTCGTGCGCCAGTGTGACCAGTGTTGCCTATCAATGCACGCACCTGCCTACCAGACCCCCCAAGCACCTCCACAGCAGCCCACCTGCCCCGCTTGCACGAGCATCTTGGAGCAGTGCGCGTAGTGGGTGGTGAAGCCCGCCTCGTGCGCCAGTGTGACCAGATTGCCATACCTGATGTGGGGTGGAGGGGAGCGGGGGGGGGGAAGGGGGTGAAGGTAGCTGGGAGGTTGTTGGAACGTTTCAGAACTGTGCCTCGTGGGGGTTGAAGCCTGCCTCGTGGGGGTTGAAGCCTGCCTCGTGGGGGTTGAAGCCTGCCTCGTGGGCCACTGTGACCAGATTGCCGTACCTGGCATGGGGTGCGGGGTGGAAAGGGGAGGAGGCAGTTTGGAGAGCGCTGTGACTTTAAAAAAGTACGCATAGTAAGAGATACATCCCGCCTCGTGCTTCAGCGTCACCAAAATGTCGTACCTGGCATGGGGTGGTGGAGGGGAGAGGCAGTTGGGGAAGCATTGAGAAGCTTATCTGGGCAAGGTGGCTGGTGAACGTCTGGGCGAGGTGGCTGGTGAACCCTGGTTCTTGAGTGAGCCGGTGTGACTCAATGGCTGCACCTGGCATGGGGTGGTCAGGGAGATACTTTTGAGCCGTTTCAAAGCCCAATTCATCATTCCTGGTTGCTGGGTGCTGGGTGCTGGGTGCTGGGTGCTGGGTGCTGGGTGCTGGGTGCTGGGTGCTGGGTGGTGGGTGCTGGGTGCTGGGTGCTGGGTGCTGGGTGCTGGGTGCTGGGTGCTGGGTGCTGGGTGCTGGGTGCTGGGTGCTGGGTGCTGGGTGCTGGGTGCTGGGTGCTGGGTGCTGGGTGCTGGGTGCTGGGTGCTGGGTGCTGGGTGCTGGGTGCTGGGTGCTGGGTGCTGGGTGCTGGGTGCTGGGTGCTGGGTGCTGGGTGCTGGGTGCTGGGTGCTGGGTGCTGGGTGCTGGGTGCTGGGTGCTGGGTGCTGGGTGCTGGGTGCTGGGTGCTGGGTGGTGGGTGGAAGAGGCGCACGCGAGAGGAGAGTAAGGGGTAAGCGATTCAAGGCAAGTCAAAAAGAAGTGAGACGAGAGCAGAGGAGAGGACAAGGAGGATATAGGCACTGCGAGGTGACTTGTGAGTATAGTGAATCAACTCAAAAGACGGCGCCCAGAGGTAGCACATGCGACCACTAGCATCGCCACTGTCATTGCGCACCAAGCTCACACACATTTCCTAGATTTTTGCACCTCCATGCCAGTGGTGGTAGCACACACACACGACCACTAGCATTGCCACTGGCAGCACCTCATGTGTCCATCACGGCACTGGCAGCACCTCATGTGTCCATCACGGCACTGGCAGCACCTCATGTGTCCATCACGGCACTGGCAGCACCTCATGTGTCCATCACGGCACTCACACGTCCATGTCTCCGACATGCGTCACTACGCCACTGCGAGCCGCTCTGATTGGCTCTCCCTCCTCTGCGGCCACGTCAACGCCCTGTTGGGAAAGGAGATGCAGAAGGGATGGGTGAGAGATGAGGGAAACAGTTTGAGGACGCATTTGCTCTCGATTGAGTTTCTCTCATGCTGCCTGGCGCACTCTTCAGAGAAGAAAAGTGAGAGATTTCTGCAGTTGGCTACGCTTGTGCCACGTCGGAGTTTTCTCTAAGAGTAACCAATGTTGCCTAGAGCATGCATTTCCGAGAGAAGCGAAGCAAACATGACTGACGACTAGGGGCAAGTCGGCACCTGTAAAACGATTGGGTGCATCTGGAAAGGAATGAGCGGCTGGGAGGGAATAAGGTGCCGCACAGCAGTGCAGTGCAGTGCACTCACCCGATGAAAGGACCCCCATCTGGGCCCAAAGGGGCTGCTCACGAAACTGCGATTGTGTTGTGGCACAGGGGGGCAGAGAGAGGGGTGACACATGGAGGTGCGAGGGAATGAGCAGGCAGCAGCAGGGGTGTTGATAAAGCTGCATGTTTGGCGGGGGCCGGGGCCGGGTGCGGGAGCACGTGGAGGGAGCACATGGATGCATGGAGCACATGGATGCATGGAGCACATGGATGCATGGAGCACATGGATGCATGGAGCACATGGATGCATGGAGCACATGGATGCATGGAGCACATGGATGCATGGAGCACATGGATGCATGGAGCACATGGATGCATGGAGCACATGGATGCATGGAGCACATGGATGCATGGAGCACATGGATGCATGGAGCACATGGATGCATGGAGCACATGGATGCATGGAGCACATGGATGCATGGAGCACATGGATGCATGGAGCACATGGATGCATGGAGCACATGGATGCATGGAGCACATGGATGCATGGAGCACATGGATGCATGGAGCACATGGATGCATGGAGCACATGGATGCATGGAGCACATGGATGCATGGAGCACATGGATGCATGGAGCACATGGATGCATGGAGCACATGGATGCATGGAGCACATGGATGCATGGAGCACATGGATGCATGGAGCACATGGATGCATGGAGCACATGGATGCATGGAGCACATGGATGCATGGAGCACATGGATGCATGGAGCACATGGATGCATGGAGCACATGGATGCATGGAGCACATGGATGCATGGAGCACATGGATGCATGGAGCACATGGATGCATGGAGCACATGGATGCATGGAGCACATGGATGCATGGAGCACATGGATGCATGGAGCACATGGATGCATGGAGCACATGGATGCATGGAGCACATGGATGCATGGAGCACATGGATGCATGGAGCACATGGATGCATGGAGCACATGGATGCATGGAGCACATGGATGCATGGAGCACATGGATGCATGGAGCACATGGATGCATGGAGCACATGGATGCATGGAGCACATGGATGCATGGAGCACATGGATGCATGGAGCACATGGATGCATGGAGCACATGGATGCATGGAGCACATGGATGCATGGAGCACATGGATGCATGGAGCACATGGATGCATGGAGCACATGGATGCATGGAGCACATGGATGCATGGAGCACATGGATGCATGGAGCACATGGATGCATGGAGCACATGGATGCATGGAGCACATGGATGCATGGAGCACATGGATGCATGGAGCACATGGATGCATGGAGCACATGGATGCATGGAGCACATGGATGCATGGAGCACATGGATGCATGGAGCACATGGATGCATGGAGCACATGGATGCATGGAGCACATGGATGCATGGAGCACATGGATGCATGGAGCACATGGATGCATGGAGCACATGGATGCATGGAGCACATGGATGCATGGAGCACATGGATGCATGGAGCACATGGATGCATGGAGCACATGGATGCATGGAGCACATGGATGCATGGAGCACATGGATGCATGGAGCACATGGATGCATGGAGCACATGGATGCATGGAGCACATGGATGCATGGAGCACATGGATGCATGGAGCACATGGATGCATGGAGCACATGGATGCATGGAGCACATGGATGCATGGAGCACATGGATGCATGGAGCACATGGATGCATGGAGCACATGGATGCATGGAGCACATGGATGCATGGAGCACATGGATGCATGGAGCACATGGATGCATGGAGCACATGGATGCATGGAGCACATGGATGCATGGAGCACATGGATGCATGGAGCACATGGATGCATGGAGCACATGGATGCATGGAGCACATGGATGCATGGAGCACATGGATGCATGGAGCACATGGATGCATGGAGCACATGGATGCATGGAGCACATGGATGCATGGAGCACATGGATGCATGGAGCACATGGATGCATGGAGCACATGGATGCATGGAGCACATGGATGCATGGAGCACATGGATGCATGGAGCACATGGATGCATGGAGCACATGGATGCATGGAGCACATGGATGCATGGAGCACATGGATGCATGGAGCACATGGATGCATGGAGCACATGGATGCATGGAGCACATGGATGCATGGAGCACATGGATGCATGGAGCACATGGATGCATGGAGCACATGGATGCATGGAGCACATGGATGCATGGAGCACATGGATGCATGGAGCACATGGATGCATGGAGCACATGGATGCATGGAGCACATGGATGCATGGAGCACATGGATGCATGGAGCACATGGATGCATGGAGCACATGGATGCATGGAGCACATGGATGCATGGAGCACATGGATGCATGGAGCACATGGATGCATGGAGCACATGGATGCATGGAGCACATGGATGCATGGAGCACATGGATGCATGGAGCACATGGATGCATGGAGCACATGGATGCATGGAGCACATGGATGCATGGAGCACATGGATGCATGGAGCACATGGATGCATGGAGCACATGGATGCATGGAGCACATGGATGCATGGAGCACATGGATGCATGGAGCACATGGATGCATGGAGCACATGGATGCATGGAGCACATGGATGCATGGAGCACATGGATGCATGGAGCACATGGATGCATGGAGCACATGGATGCATGGAGCACATGGATGCATGGAGCACATGGATGCATGGAGCACATGGATGCATGGAGCACATGGATGCATGGAGCACATGGATGCATGGAGCACATGGATGCATGGAGCACATGGATGCATGGAGCACATGGATGCATGGAGCACATGGATGCATGGAGCACATGGATGCATGGAGCACATGGATGCATGGAGCACATGGATGCATGGAGCACATGGATGCATGGAGCACATGGATGCATGGAGCACATGGATGCATGGAGCACATGGATGCATGGAGCACATGGATGCATGGAGCACATGGATGCATGGAGCACATGGATGCATGGAGCACATGGATGCATGGAGCACATGGATGCATGGAGCACATGGATGCATGGAGCACATGGATGCATGGAGCACATGGATGCATGGAGCACATGGATGCATGGAGCACATGGATGCATGGAGCACATGGATGCATGGAGCACATGGATGCATGGAGCACATGGATGCATGGAGCACATGGATGCATGGAGCACATGGATGCATGGAGCACATGGATGCATGGAGCACATGGATGCATGGAGCACATGGATGCATGGAGCACATGGATGCATGGAGCACATGGATGCATGGAGCACATGGATGCATGGAGCACATGGATGCATGGAGCACATGGATGCATGGAGCACATGGATGCATGGAGCACATGGATGCATGGAGCACATGGATGCATGGAGCACATGGATGCATGGAGCACATGGATGCATGGAGCACATGGATGCATGGAGCACATGGATGCATGGAGCACATGGATGCATGGAGCACATGGATGCATGGAGCACATGGATGCATGGAGCACATGGATGCATGGAGCACATGGATGCATGGAGCACATGGATGCATGGAGCACATGGATGCATGGAGCACATGGATGCATGGAGCACATGGATGCATGGAGCACATGGATGCATGGAGCACATGGATGCATGGAGCACATGGATGCATGGAGCACATGGATGCATGGAGCACATGGATGCATGGAGCACATGGATGCATGGAGCACATGGATGCATGGAGCACATGGATGCATGGAGCACATGGATGCATGGAGCACATGGATGCATGGAGCACATGGATGCATGGAGCACATGGATGCATGGCACATGGATGCATGGAGCACATGGATGCATGGAGCACATGGATGCATGGATGGATGCACGGAGCACATGGATGCATGGAGCACATGGATGCATGGAGCACATGGATGCATGGAGCACATGGATGCACGGAGCACATGGATGCATGGAGCACATGGATGCATGGAGCACATGGATGCATGGAGCACATGGATGCATGGAGCACATGGATGCATGGAGCACATGGATGCATGGAGCACATGGATGCATGGAGCACATGGATGCATGGAGCACATGGATGCATGGAGCACATGGATGCATGGAGCACATGGATGCATGGAGCACATGGATGCATGGAGCACATGGATGCATGGCATGGAGCACATGGATGCATGGAGCACATGGATGCATGGAGCACATGGATGCATGGAGCACATGGATGCATGGAGCACATGGATGCATGGAGCACATGGATGCATGGAGCACATGGATGCATGGAGCACATGGATGCATGGAGCACATGGATGCATGGAGCACATGGATGCATGGAGCACATGGATGCATGGAGCACATGGATGCATGGAGCACATGGATGCATGGAGCACATGGATGCATGGAGCACATGGATGCATGGAGCACATGGATGCATGGAGCACATGGATGCATGGAGCACATGGATGCATGGAGCACATGGATGCATGGAGCACATGGATGCATGGAGCACATGGATGCATGGAGCACATGGATGCATGGAGCACATGGATGCATGGAGCACATGGATGCATGGAGCACATGGATGCATGGAGCACATGGATGCATGGAGCACATGGATGCATGGAGCACATGGATGCATGGAGCACATGGATGCATGGAGCACATGGATGCATGGAGCACATGGATGCATGGAGCACATGGATGCATGGAGCACATGGATGCATGGAGCACATGGATGCATGGAGCACATGGATGCATGGAGCACATGGATGCATGGAGCACATGGATGCATGGAGCACATGGATGCATGGAGCACATGGATGCATGGAGCACATGGATGCATGGAGCACATGGATGCATGGAGCACATGGATGCATGGAGCACATGGATGCATGGAGCACATGGATGCATGGAGCACATGGATGCATGGAGCACATGGATGCATGGAGCACATGGATGCATGGAGCACATGGATGCATGGAGCACATGGATGCATGGAGCACATGGATGCATGGAGCACATGGATGCATGGAGCACATGGATGCATG